TTGCAACTCCATTTTCAGTTGACATAAATACATTACTTGCAGATTTTCAAATGTAATGTGTAGAGTTGTAATCAGATATTTAGCTCAAAATTTTGATCACGTCTTTTTCCTTGACTTCTATAAGACCTCTCTTAAGAGAGAAAAATCCCTCGCTTCACAGTCAAGCCTTGATCATATCATCACTTTTGGCAGTACGCACATTTGTGAGTAACTGTTGTCAAGGATGAAGTACAGGAAGAGTAAAACTTCATAAAAAATCTCTGGTGAGCACCTTAAGAACTCACAGAATTACAGCCACTGCCACTGAACCAGACTGATGCATTAATTTCACAAAAACAAGATCAAATATCTCACTAGTTATTTTACAAGGGCTACGCCAAAAGTAGTGCCTGCTATTTTATTGTGTTGGCTTATGACATCAGAGGCAGGTGTTGGTGGTATGGCAGTAGAGACTGATCTTTTCCACCAAGATCCTGTTGCATTTTGTTGCCTTGCAACAGAAGAGCAATCTGACAAAATGGTGTCAGACATGGAAGTGTATATGAAGCAAAGGTGTGTAATTGAATTCCTCTATTCAAAAAAGAAAAATTGCACCCATTGTCATTTATTGACACTTTCCAAACATTTCTGGAGACCAAACAGTGAATGTGTGAACACCGTAGTGCACTTCAGCAGTGGTGACAGCAACAGTGAATCACCTGTGCTGGTGCAGGTTTTGATGAACATGGTATGCAGACCTTTGTTCATCTCTGGTGACAATGTGTAGCTAATGTTGACAACTATGTTGAGTGCTTTGTTTCTGGAAATTTGCTCTATCAAGCAGTTAATGTGCTCATTACATCTGTTGTAGTTTCCATGGAAATAAACGGGAGGTATTGCTTTAAAAGCAGTCGTGTATATGTGGCCCAAGACAACTCCTCTTCATTCAGTGTGATCAAGGCAAGGCAAAAGATTGGACACTCATGGCTTAGCGTCATAGAATCATAGAATTGCTCAGGTTGGAAAAGACCTTAAAGATCATCAAGTCCAAACACAACCTAACCAAACTACCCTAACAGCCCTCCACTAAATCGTGTCCCTGTGCACCACATCCAGATGGATTTTAAATACATCCAGGGATGTGTTTTAAACCGCCTCCCTGGGGAGCCTATTCCAGTGTTAACAACCCTTTCTGTAAAGAAGATTTTCCTGATATCCAACCTAAACTTACCCTGGTGCAACTTGAGGCCATTTCCCTGTATTTTGTCACCTGTCTCCAGTGAGAGGAGACCAACCCCACTCTCATTGCAATTTGAAGAGAGCAATAAGATCTCCCCTCAGCCTCCTCTTCCCTGGACTAAACAGCCCCAGTTCCTTCAGTGTCTCCTCATAGGCCATATTCTCCAAGCCTTTTGCAAGCCTTGTTGCCCTTCTTTGGACCTGCTCTAGCACCTCCATGTCCTTTCTGTACTGAGGTGCCCAAAATTGAACACAGTACTCAGGTGAGGCCTCACCAGTGCCAAGTACAGGGGCAGGATCGTCTCCCTAGTCCTGCCCACCACACCATTCCTGATACAAGCCAGGATGCCAGTGTCCTTCTTGGCCACCTGGGCACACTGCTGGCTCATAGCAAATCAGCAAACTTGCTGAGGGTGCACTTGATCTCATTGTCATTGATAAAGGTATTAAAGAGGACCCCTACGCATAGCTGGCCTCCACCTGATCAAAGATCCTCTGACCACAGTTTTCAAATATTTCTTAGGATTTCAGTGCCGGGACTCTGAGAGGACAGTTTATGTTCTTTTGTGTTAAGGAGAATTCATATCCTAGGTATGTCAAACTTTTACAAGATTTACATTCCAGGCAGAAACAAATCCTCCTGTTTATGACTAGGAGAAAATGTTTAGTAATCTTGAATGCAAGGCAGTCTGAATTGATCTTTTGCATAAAATATGGGAAGTTTTTCAATTGAGACTGGTAGTCCTGAAGACTGTTAGCTTCTCTTAAAAGCAGTGATATGTAAAGAGATGGTTTGGACTGATACATTAAATCAGCTGGGATTGTTTTCTAGACTCAATTAGACTGGATCTAGTCTTAACAACTCATAAGGTCTCAAAAATATGACCTGTAGCTTAAATAGAAATTGATTACTTGAGTATATATTAATAAATCCATCAAGGCAAATGCTCCAGTAATCTTGCTTGGAAGATTATTGCAAGTCGATAACCTAGAAGCTATGCCACTCAGAGGCTTAATAAAAGGTTTTAGTGTTTAGATGTGATTGACAGGTGACACTTTTATGGAGTGATTGAAGACCTCAGTCGTGTTTAAAAAGTCAGATGAACAACCACGGAGAAAAATCTTTTGCACAGCAAAACCAGCACCTGTTTGTCTGCTCAGCTGTACTCTGTGTTCCTTGGTGCTCGCTCTAAAATTTGCTTCATAAATTAAATTTTTGCCCTGTGGAGAAATTTCTCATAAATGGAAATGTTCCTCACAGTTTTTATTCAAACTAAGTAATGAATACCTAGTAGTAGGAATGGTCTTTTGCCAAATCAGAAGGCAAGTGAGAGCAACAATAATTTCTTTGCAAGCTTTGTATGCAATATTATTATTCCCGGAACATACCTTAACATTCAATTCCGTATTCTTGTAATATCAGGTATAAGAAAATTGCAGAAAAATTTGACTGACAAAGAGATCTCAGTGCCATTCACCTCCAACGTAATTTTCATTTTCAGTGCATGCAACCAGTTGAATATATTTTAAAATAGTCATCTTTTCCCTAAAATGGAATGTAAGCTATTTAAAATATATTTGAATATACAATCTGTGTATAAAAATGATTATCTGAAATGATTAAGTGGTTTCAAAATTGAGATTTGTTGTTTTGTGTATTCTGTTGCCTTATCCATTTAATATCAATGAGTGCATACGGCATGAGTTTTAGATCTTCATACCTGCATTGTATAAGACTTTGATTTGCAAATTTAAGTGAAAAAAAAATTAAAGAGCTAAATAAATTTCATTACTGGCGCATGGAGAACAGACAGAGAAATGAGGGAGAGCTGATTGAGGCCAGCAGGATGGAGAAAACTAAAGGGCTACTGAAAGATTTATTATTTTTTTTTTACGTTCTTAAACTGTACCTTTTTTAAATCCACATTTTTTGTAAATATATGCAGTCAACCAACTCTTCTCAAATAGCTACTGATGTTACAGGCCAGAAATCATATAAAGGGGAATAAAGTGGGAAGAGAAGAAGTTTGAAAACAGACGTAATTTAAGTATAGCACTTCATCTTACTGTTTTTCTGATTCAAGTGAAACAGGGATGTTTGATTTGGTTTGGCAGCTGTTCTGGATGTGAGGGATGACTGGGGAAAGTTGCTATCCAGTAGAGAATTTTCGAATAGAAGTTGGCTGGGAAAGAATAAAATAAAAGACATCGAAGGAGAACAGGCATAGATAAAAGGTGTGAGAAACTTCTTCTGCATGTTTTCCTAATGTCCAAGATAAATGATTTAAATTCTATTCAAATTTTGAGGGAGCAGTTTTGGAGAAATTCACTTCAGAGCTACAAAAGATTAGAATAGTAAGTTGGGTAGGCAACTCCAGTACCAACATCTGAAAGATGTCTCTATTATCCTGAATAGCAACCCAAACAGAAAACCTGAAGTCATCAGTCTTGGATAGTCTGGGGCTGTGGTCAAAAAATTAGTAAATGGAGTTTAGACAGCCACGTTCAGTTTTCAGAAAGGGCTTTCAGTCAGTTATTTTTGTCATGTTTCTGCTATGCATGACTAACACTGTTTGGAGCTGATTTTGGTTTCAGCTTGGGGAAGTAAAGCTTGCCTTACTATTGTCTAGCAAACATCACACAGCCGTTTTATGAAGAAGTAATGAGGAAGATACAATGCATTTATTTTGGAAAAGTGTCCATTCTTTTATCAGAAAAAAAAAAGAAAATTCTTCATCTGCTTTTGTCACTTTTGGTCTAGACCTGTTACATTTATCATCAGTAAACTGAATATTTTGTAAATATTTAACAAGATCTGGGTGCAGTCCATGAATGGTGGTCACTGTGGTACCTACCAAAAGACACCTGGCATTCTTGGTTTTGTAGGTTTGTTTTTATGAGGTAAACTTAAAATGGTCTTTCTCATTGAGAATTACAAAGAATCTAAAACTAAAATTTCTCGTCTTGTACATATCCAATTTTTTTTCCTGTCCATGCTAATTCTGATTTACTCCATTGCCATGAAAGATATCCAAGTAAGGAAAAGTTTAGCTGCCTTGACTGTCACTATTAGCTGAGGATGAACAGCATGACAGCTTAATTAACCAAAGTGGATGATAAAAGAGACCATGCTAAAGCAAAGGTCTTAATTTAAGGGAAAATTGCTCTTTTATGATAAATATGGCAACTTCTGGTTCAGCTCTCTGAAGCAACAGATGCTCCCTTAATTTATGTTTCAGCATGTCACGACGCTTTTTCAATCGCTACATAACTTAAATTCTTTTGATACCAAAGTACATGTTTCTGATGGGCCTTTCTGAGAGCTGTCAGTATGATGACTGCTGACTTTTTCACATTGTGTCAGCCAACAGTATGGGTAACAAACACATTGTTCATAAAAATTGTTCAAAATGTTGAGGTTATCTTAAACGTGTATTTTATGCATGTCCTATCAGTGTTATCATTTATTAAAACTGCGCTGTCTTATTTTCTTTTTTGAAATGTTCCATCAGTGAGAGAGAAACAATGAAATATGTCAATTTTTATTTCCACTCTGAGTTTTGTATTATATGCAGTGGCTTGGCTGCTAAGCAGTTTTAAAAGGGAGCAGCAAATAAAGTAGTGAAGCACAACTACCTCTGTGGTAAATGAAATTCATTGCTTCAATCACTAAGTGTTGTAATTCATTAGAAACATCTAATATAGTCTGAAATGCTGAGTTTTTCTTTTAAAACCAGTGAAAACCAACAAGCATAATTAAACCACTTTTCAATTTGCTTCAGAAATACAAGCCTGGTCGATGTGATGATATTCTGAAATGGAAGCCACCCAGCCTGAACTCTGTTGATTTTCGTCTGAAGATAACGAGGATTGGTGGAGAAGGGTATGTAATCTCTCCCCTTTTAAAATGTATAACACACAAGTGAATGTCCCTTAGCAGTTTAATCTCCCCTCTGATATTTCTTGACATTTTCTGGGGCTAAGCCTCTCTGTATGCTGTAGAATTTGTTCACTGTAAGTGTTAGAAGCTGTTGTAATCAATGCAGTACTGAAAACAACAGCAGATGCTTATAATGTAAAACTACTTGTTCTTATATTGTTTCATAACATTAAAAACACAAATCTCGTCTTTGGCTTTGGCATTGCCCTTTGTGGATGTAGAAAACAGACAGGCTATGCTAGCTAAAATTCTTATATAAAATAACTATTTTCTATTGCTGTTAAGAAAAACAGTGCCAACATCAGCTTTCTTCCATTTTAGAATTCTGCATAATCAAGAAATGACACTTGTTTTTTTTAAAGAAAAGCCTGAACTTCACATTTTTTGATAAGTTTTCTTGGTGTTGTCTATAAAGCCATCAGTTTTTTTTCCAAAATGGTAAGCTCCAGAAGCAAGAGACACGTAAATCTTTACAGCAATTCTACATACTTTTTGCCCAATTCAGACACTGCACATATTAAACAGGGAGGGAAGGGTGAAGATTGAGTCACTGAATTAAAGCTTGCCTTGGAAATAATTTTATTTAGGGCTGAGATTGTCAATTTTTTTTTTTTTTTTAAGTTGCTTGTTTTAACATCTGGGTCTCACTACGACTGAGTTTGAGTACTGATGTTAAGCTTTTATTTTTTTTTGTGCATGCCCTAGGTAACCCAGTATGGTTAAACAGTTAATACACAGACTGCTTACTTAGTCCACAGTGCCAGTAATGGTTCATCTAACTTTAGCTTATTGTATTAGTGAACATATTTGGTGAATGTATGATATCTTGAGAATATCAGGTTTACTCAACCAAATATACTTGGCTACTGACTTCTGAGTATTTCATAAGGTCAGAAACATCTGTTATATTTTTGTGGTTGAAAGTGGTATATTAAGTCTTCAGAAGCAACACAGCTGCTTTAGAAAATATACAGGAATATTTTGTTTGATTTCAGATTCAGACAAATGTTTCAAATTTGTTTGGCTGCTATTTAAACCACTGAAAAGTGTAACAGGAAAGATTTCTACTGAAAAAATTACCTGGTGTCTGGCAGGAATGCTACTTTTATTATAGGATTCTTTTGATTTCAGCTGAAACTTACAAATTCATAGTAGGAGCCTGTAACTCAGAAGCAAAATAAAACTATTTTTCACTGTGTAAAAAAAAAAAACAACAAAGTATTTGCTTGATTAGTTAACACCAATTTCAAATAGATTTTTATCTTAGTGTTATTGCGTTACATTTAAAGAAAAAGATGATAATTTTATCAGAAAATGAATGTAATAAAAATTAGCCAGCAAAACTGTTGCTAAAAAGTTGGACACTTAGCAGTAAATTATTGAAGAAGGAGTATTCCATTGTTAAATCAGAAATATTTCCTAACATTTAGAAAAGTTCTACCATACTTCAGCTATGTGAAAATGTGTTATTGCTTATCAGGATGGATATAAGCGCCTGGAATAGTCTCTGAATGCTGTAATACTTAAGTAAGCTCATGTTTATGTTCCTCTCACATGTTAAGAAAAAAAAAAATCCTAGAAACTTGGCATTAGAGAAATAAAGTATAATTATTCCAAATACAATAAAGTATAATTATTCCAAATACATTTTACTCTAGCTCATATGACAGTTGACTGCTGTTTGTAGCACAAGTCCAGGTACATTCAACTAACAAAAAGAAAATTTAATGAAGTACTGGGTGAAAAATAACACTTTGCCATTACTGGAAGAGAGAGATTCGTGTTAAGTAATGACCAATGAAACTGTAGCTTCTATTCAGTTAAACATAAACAATAAAATATTGTGAATAAAATATTGCAGGCTTAATTGCTTTACTTGTTAATTTGGTTGTCTGATTAACTGCTTGGTAAAATATGAACTTTTTAATGGAAGCATCCAAACTGTACCAACTTCACAGTTGTTTTAAAAGAAACATACTTAGTTTTAGACTTTAAAAAGGCAATTCCAGAGTTCTGATCTCTGCCATATTAAACTCACTTTGAAGAAGGCCTGTTAGGTTGATTTCTGAAGAAAAAAAAAATCCCCAACAACCTAACAATTCTATTTTGATGAACAGAATGTCTTGCTACTGGCAATTCTAATATGGCAGTGTTAGGCATCCTGCCTCTCCCTAGCCCCACTGAGATTAAAAGCCAGGATTCATAGTGGTTTCAGTGCTTTAGGTAAAATAGTTTTCCTTCAACAATCCACAAAGAAATTTGGCACGTGTTTGACAGCAGAGTTGTGCAAATGTGTTTAAAATACTATTATAAAAGCGTGTGTGTTATTTCGATAGTTAAGCAGTAATATTTATGAGAAAGGATTGTATGACTTTGTATTGATCTTTTACTGACTGTGGAGCTGAACTCAAAGTATTGATCTCAAATACGTGACAGCTTGAAATAGTGAGGATGGGGATTGCCTATAATTCTCAAGTCCTCTGTTCTGACTTACAGCCTCATCTTTAATCCCTAAAATGCAGACATCTAAATCTGTGCTGCTGTTGTGTGTGGTCTTTTAGGTTGAACCTGCTTTAATAAACTCCAGCCACACTGCCCATGTATTTATAGTTCCATGTTCAATTAAATAGTGGGGGGAAAAAAACACATGGGGTCATTATTTATTCAAAAGCATGAGACTAGAGCACAGTCAGCTGTTAGGCCTGTCTTTGGCATGGCATGTGTAATTGAGATCCTGATCAATTGTAAACAATCTTGTGCATTTTTCCTATGAATGAGGGAGTTCTCCAGGGAATTTGCTTGATTTTAGTCGGTGTGATTATTTTTCCATCTACCTAAAATTCCCCTGTGCTTTCAGTTGTGCATTTCCATCCATAGATCAGTCTGTAATAGTAATGCTAACTGCAAAATAGCTGCCATGTTTCACTCCAGATGTAGTTCCGTTCTGGATGGATCACTCATTTGTTTTTGTATAGGGTTCAGTTATTTCAGTATTGATATTGGGCAGTTTTGCCTTTGAATTAAAAAGAAGGGTCAGGCTTATGGTTTATGAAGTACTTTTAGAATAAGCTGCACTATTAAGATGAAGATTCCATAACAAAGAATGAAAATAAAGAAAAAATACTATTGCATCCGAGGAAAGACAGGGTCTTGGTAATCTCAGTGACCTAATCTTGACACTCCTGTTCAGCACATATATTTGAAAGAAATTGTGTCATTGCACCTTAGCGAGTTACATCTTATCAGCTGAGCCACAGTAATTGTCCCCTGTGTATTCTCATAGAGCAGCCCATCCAAGCGTCACTGTGATGGTTTACATTAACTCTTCTTCTGTTGCTTTTGCAAGGATTCCAGTTTATGGTTTCGATCATTTTTGATCGCATCAAAATAGTTATTTTTATTGAAAACAAACAAAAAAATCCAACAACCTAATAAATTAGCTCAGTGAAGGAGTAAGGTGTTCTTGTTCTGTGGTGAAACACAACAGTTGAACTGTAAAGCCCTCACATTTCACATGCTTTAAAGTGGTAAGCCCACTTGCCAGCACTTCTGTATCACTTCAGGCTTACTAAGATAATTGTCTCTCATCAGCAATGTGAAGTGAAGCCCTTTAATCGTGTAACAGTGCCTTGCGTTTTTCTGAAATTATGGTGATACTCATGGAACATAAAATTACAGGGACATAAGCTCACCAACTGTTTACAGATGGCCTCTGAGTTAAATGGCCTTGTCAGAAGGAAATATATGTAATTGCTGTGTGCAACGTCTCAGTTATAGAGAAGATTGTTTTTTAAAAGGTAGAGATCCTTTTTTTTCCCCCCAAAATGTCTGACTTTAAAAATATTTCTTAAAAAAGATAAAACCCCCCAAGCTGATTCTGAACCTTCTTTAAATGTCACAAATATCATCTGAAAATGTCTACACGGTGCCAGTTTTGTGGTAGCTTACAAGGACGTCCGTGCTCCCTTTTCTAGACTTTAATTAGCCTGTGCAATTCTTTCAAATTTTATCTGAATCAGACATGCTGAAGTCAAGTGAAAAGCGAGGTTTTGTCTCTACTGGTTTTGAGTAAATATCTTACTGGGTCAATGGATTAGATGATTTCATATCACAGAATAATCAAAGATCTGTCTAGAATCTTGAGGTATGAGAAGGAGTCAGGAATTTTACTCATCTTCTAAGAGAGAAATACTGATAAAGTCTTACTTCTTTTAATGTGTGTGTATATATATACATATATATATATATAAAATATGTAAATATATATTTAAAATCTGAAGGAGTCATCAACTCCGTTAGTAATCATTTTTTTTTAATTGTAACCAAGAGAAAGTGTACCACATTGGGAATGGGTGTGTGGGGTGGGAGGGTAGGGAACATGTTTTAGGCAAAGTTTTTTTTGCTTGGAAATCGTTGAGTAATGAAAAATGGAAGATGAAATACAACGTGTTTGAGGACAGCAGGGGTCTCAGTGGCTATCTCACTGGCAATTACAGATCAACAACCAAATACAGATATCATAGCTATCGGCAAGTGAATGTTTTCGCTTTGTTAGATGTCATGTTGTCCTTTTTGTTCTGTAAATTAGAGCATCTGAAAAATAAAAAGCTGGTTCAAAAGAACCATGCTGTTGTTGATTTGCTGTCATATAGATATGTTGTCTGTCACAAGATGACTTATTCACCTTACGAGCCAGTCTTCCTCACAGTTCTACTTTGAAAAAAAAAATCCTAACTGAAAAATGGTAAGAGTTAACTGAACAGCCTGGATCTGCTGAGGTGACAGTATGGTGTGTTTGACCTGTGTTTTGTGCTTCCTCCTCTCTTTCTGTTCCTCCTTTTATTTGGTCAATAAATGACCAGTTAGAGCTGCGAGCTCTTTTCAGCCATACTGGATTGCAGAATGCTGGTTGCCAAAGAATGCAAACTTGTTCTTACACGTCA